AGCTCTGTGGTTATTTGCACATTGATTAAAAGAATAATGCGCAACTTTGCAGTTTCACACTCCTTATTGTACTTAACACCTCCTAAGCGTGTAAATTGTGTCGAGATTGGTCTACCTTGTGTGGCTCACTTCCAAGCAGTGCCATAAAGTTCAGCTTTAATATAAGTATGATATAGTCACAGAGGATGCTGGTCACACACACTGTCGCAGTGAGTGACGTGTCATTACACCCTGTCACTGTCATTACACCCTATCACGTGTCATTACACCCTGTTCACCCCATGTCTTTACACCTGTCACGTGGCATTACACCCTGTACGTGTCCATCACACAATGTCACGTGTTCATTACACCTGCCACGTGTCATTACACCCTGCACGTATCATTACACCCTGTCACGTGTCATTTACTTCGTTAACCCTGTCACGTGTCAGATTACAACCCTGTCACGTGGTCATTACAACCTGTTCGTGTCATTACACCCTGTCACGTGTCATTACCCTAGAATTATCACACCCGCTTCTCTCCGTAATATCATCGTCAAATTTTCAGGCTTTCAAGAAGATTGCATGCGAGATTATCACTAAAATGGCGCGACAAAAACCTGAGGTAAAGCGTCCTTGGTTTCTGGATGTGAGATAATAACTGTTGCAATATCATTGCAATATCCTGGCTAGGTTATCAAATACCTTTTCATGGCTATTATTGGTACTAGCTTTATAGTAGAGATTCCCACGTGCGCCATTTATCCCTTAAATTCGGGATCTCGTGAAATATTATGTTGACGTAATGTGAATATTTAAAACTTTGGTTTGGTTTTTTCTGTATTTATTTCAACTTTTCAACCAAATCAAAGCCAAGGTTAAATTTGAATGCATGTCTTACAGAGAAATTATGAGGAATCATGTTATTTTCAGAATTCAAAAGATTTTATAAATAATAATTCTGTCAAATTTCAGTCGAACGGCAACAATAACTACTTGGACTTGGCTCCGACAAAAGAAGCAAGCTCAGGGTTTTCTTGCTGTAACAACTGACATCCAACCCTTTTCTCTGACACGTGTTTATAAGATGCTCAAGTATTTGAAGAATGTTATCCGATCGAACTGAGATGTAGGACAGAGTATTGGAGATTTGGAGTCGTGCCAAAAATTTATGAGAAATTTGATGCACCATTATACCGATTACGTCCTTTACTAACATTTATGATATAATAATGCTTGATCAACGTTTTTCATAATGATTTGATTTTAGGTTTTTCTTTTTAAGGTTTTGGTCAGAGTCGTGCCAAAGTTTTGGATTGCTCAGAATATTTATTTTATTTTATTTCTTCGTCTTGAAAATATTTACTGGGTTGCTCAATAGAGCATATTCTGTTAAGTGTGTATAAAATTATATACATTCACAGCCTGAAATTTAATCACTTTAAGTGTTCCTACCTTTAAACTAATAGGAATCTGTATTAATATTTTGGGGTGTTTTACTCAAGAAAATGCGGATAAATAATCTCTCGGATCAATTTCACATCATTTTAACAACTTTAAACTTTGTTTTTAACGTAGAATAGGCGATAACGTTTTGAAAGTTAAAACTATTTATTAAATTAAAATCCTGAATTTTTGATTGATATTAAGTAGATTTAATTTCTTTAATTTATGTTTAAATCTGTGTGCTGGGTAACTCGGTAATCTGCCGATGCACATCTGGGGCACACCTGGGGCACACCTGGGGCACAAACTCGGGCACACCTTCGGGCACACCTCGGGCACAAAGCACACCTCGGGCAAATTCGGGCATGGGGTAATGGGAAACCTTGGGAAAAGAACCTGGGCACATCTCGGGCCACATCTCGGGCACAAATCTCGGGCACATCTCGGGGCACACCTTGGGCAGAACCACCGGGGCACACCTGAGCACATCCTCAGGCACACCCGGGCACATCTCGGGCAAAACCACCTGGGCACCGGTATTCGGGCCAACCTGGGGCACATCCTCGGGCACATCTCGGCAAAACCACCTGGGGGTCACGGGTCCTTCGGGAAATTATGAAATTATTATTTATTACTATGATGATAGATATCATTATTAATATTACTTATATTGGTGATAGTATTATACTAGTATTATACTATCGCAATATAATATATAATATGAGCAATATAATTTCAGAGACACATATCTAATATCTATTTATTAACGAACAAGTGAAAAAACACGATTGAACTGTCCATAAACCATGTACATAATAATTTTCATTATAACTGTAAGCAATATATAACATAATCAATCGGGTATATTCACAAAACTATTAAATACATTCTAATCAAAAAATTCTAGCATCAACCTGCGGGGCTCCTGGTTTTAAAATCTCTTCTGACGGAAGGGCGGAGCGGGTCAGGGTGGTTCCTTCTCAGCCAGATGAATTCAGCGAGGGCGATTTAGAGGGCTGAGAGTCTCTTTCGCGTCCTGCGTGTCCTCGTGCATGTGCCTCTTGGCGTGAAACCACATGCCCTCACATGTTTTCGTATGAACACGGTTGGGACCGGGGGTCGACGATGCCTTCTGCTGTGGTTTACGACAGTGGGTGTAGCCGTGGTGTCGGAGGGGCGTTGACCCATCTCCACTTGTCTGTAAGGAAGATGGTCCCAGGTGGCGACGTGATTGCTTGATTAGACGGAAAAGAAGAGTGTGGTGGTTACGGTTTGTTGTATGTGCACTCCCCAAGAAAGCATTCGCCGGTAGTTCTGCAGTCAGCCTCCAACGTCACTTCCCGATCACTCGTCGTCCGGTGGTACTTCCGTTCGCCGACTTCGACTCGTCATTTCCACGATGTGCCCGCGTCCTCCAATTTCCTCGTTGGCTCCCGTTCTCGAGAAGGTCCTCCACCATACACCTGTCGAATAGCTGGTGTAAAGGGATCGCACTGTTTCTAGTTCATCCGACAGGATTCTCGGCTGCATCAGCACACGCTTGGTACCGTTGCGAGATCCAAAGTAGGTGGAGCGAAGTTGATAAAGTGTATGTCTGCGGTTGTAGAGGACACTTCCTGCTCTGACAGCGAGGGTGGTGTGACCGCCAGGGACAGGACCAACAGTCAGCCATCGCTGTACTTTGTGGAGGCGCAGGATCGTAGCTCATGTGGTAGTGGCACTCTGGACAGAACTCGGTTAGGACGTAGGAGTTCCACAATCGGGCAGTACTGTAGGAAGCTTGTGGCTTCTGAAGAGAGGACACCAGTTTTCTGAGATCTTCGTAGGGAGAGAAAAGTGAGCGCCATATCGAATGATAGTATTAGCTGTTTGTCATGTTTATATATCTCGATTGAATTTTGATGCTTCGGGGGACGGTCACAGAAGAGTACCTTATTATTTGGCCAGATCGCAAGACTTGTTGTTCTAGTATTCGCGTCACATAACTAGATCAAACATTCCGATTCCACCCTAACAGTCGATGAGGCGAAGATTTTGATTTTCTTTGCATAGCGTCACGTGAGAGGGCTGTGAATACTCACCACGTGATCCCATGTTATCGGTGTTATGGCTACCATTTGTTGGGCAATGCGTCCATGCGATCAATGCGCTCCGAACCGTGAATTAACAAGCTCAGATCCGAAACCCTCGGGTATAAAGGTTGTTATCACATAGGTTCCTCATTGCAGTTTTCGTTCTACTACCACAACTACTCTATACTACTCTCATGCCTACTCGATCCGGACTTCGACTATCTCGACCTTATTTCCCCCAACTAGCAGTCATTGTGGCCGGTGGCGCACGAGGTCACATCCACACAGAGTGGCCCCCCCCCCCCCCACCCCCCCCCCCCACCCCCCCCCACCCCCCCCCCCCCACCGTTTGCAACCGGAACCAACTGAGCTTCGCACACTCCACGCTTCAGGCGAAGAAGCACTCCTCCCAAGAGGATATACTGCTATTATTTTTTGTAGTTACACCGTAATACTTATGTTTTAAAGGTTATTGAGATGTTCCGATTGATACTTTAATAATAATAATAATGCTTACCTAATAAATTTATTAGATAATTACGATCAGACTCAATCGTATTTTTCAATGCTAGTTAATGAATAAATTTTTTTAATAATAAAATTGTCGGTTCCTGAAAATTATATTGCTCATACATATAGTTTATCTGTCACCATTTAAGTTATATTAATTAATGATATCTTCATCATAGTAATAATAATAATTCATATGCCCGAATGACCGGGCCCCAGGTGGTTTTGCCGAGATGTGCCCGAGATGTGCCAGGTGTGCCTGAGATGTGGCCTTCAGGTGTGCCCCCAGGTGGTTCTGCCCGAGGTGTGCCCGAGATGTGCCCGAGGTGTGCCCGAGATGTGCCCCAGGTGGTTCTGCCCGAGGTGTGCCCGAGGTGTGCTTTGTGCCCCAGGTGTGCCCGAGGTGTGCCCCAGGTGTGCCCGAGTTTGTGCCCCAGGGGTGCCCCAGGTGTGCCCCAGATGTGCATCGGCAGATTACCGAGTTACCGTGTGCTGAATTTTCAATGTATTAGAGTTTACCTGACCCGCCCCCTATGAAGGGTATTACTATAATTATGATGTGGTGTTTTTGAGGGTCATTCATCGTGTCGCTCGACATGGTGCATGAATTGTTACTTTTAGGTTATGATATTAATATCTTTACTTAGTTTTCAATTCGTTTCAGATCTTTGACAGATTATTCAGGTGACAGAATTTACAGAATTGCAGATAAGTTTTGTGCTGCCATATTATCGAGTCCTTGCTACATAAACCATCTTGACGTTCGGCAGCCTATCTCATAAGTCCGCGTAATATCAGAATATATATTATCGTAAAGTGGGGATATGTGAAATCTCGTCGTAAATTATTTCACGTTGTATGCGTGGAAAGTGTGTTTGTCTTTCCATCAGTCTAGGTCATAACTGACTTATCAATTAATTTGTTAATTAATTAATTAAATTATCGATTGACTAATTAACTAATTGTGCCTATTTGTGTGTACTGTGTAGTCACATTCGTTTCAAATGTCGATATTTTGAGGCAATCAATTAAAATTGTAGTAACGATGAGCAAGTTTTAAATGAAACTATCTAAATATTTGCGTATTGAAAATAACCACCGCTTCTTTTCTTGTTATCAAAATTAAATACATTTATGAAACTTGCGCTTTTTCAAATGAAAATATTATAAATTAACAGTCACACATTAAAACTACACAGTATATTATTATTTCATCAATCACAAGATTTAAGTAAATCTCGTCAAGCGAAAGCTAATGTTTTCTAAAATCCTTCCTTCCGAATTCCGACGGCTTCAAACATGAATCAGATTAAAAAGCAAACAGTGTATCTCATCACCGATTAGTTCATCATTTACTGATCAGAGGACAAACTTGGCCCGTCTCTTCCTCTTGCCGGCTAACATGAACTTATCAAGCTGCTGCTTGAGCACCTTCTTTCCCTTTCTCCCGCCTCCCTGCACTCTTCCTCTTCGTTTCGGTGTAGAATTCTCTTCCTCGACCTGCTGCACGTCCTGCTGTACGTCCTGCTGCACTTCCTGCTGTACGTCTCCAGAGGGGTGAACCTCGTTCAGTATTGGTTGAACATCTTCCTGGTTCACATCTACCTCCTGCTCTTCTACTTCAGTAGATGACGGATCTGAGTTCTCAGATTCCCGAATAAACTTGAGAGCTTGCCCACCGATCAGTGGTAAAACTTCGTCAGCTATTGTGTCGAGATTTCTGGTTTTAGTGAGAAGCTTGTGCACGGAATTGTAGAGTTGAACACAGTTGTACTTGCACCCCGGGGCGTTCAGCACCAACTTGTTACACCTGGTAGTGGGAGGGGGTCAGATGTTGGTTAATTTGTACCTGCCAATGTAATTATGTCGTACGTCAGCTGTAGTTTAACAGAGTATGTGTCAAAATATTTTGGCAAATATTTCGCTGTGGGTATGATTTACTGTTATAATTATTTGCAACTTTGAGTATAATTTGAAATATTTGATGTGATTGTCGCAGAACGGTGCTAAAATCGTTACTCCAAACTTCGGAGAGCGCCTCGGCCTCCCTCCAGACTCCAAAATAGGTGATTACGATAAAGAAGGGCACATGTGTGGTAAGATTATCTGTCAACCTGGAGTCAGTCTTTGTGCAACAGCTGCCATGGTAATTCAGGGAGGACAAATTGGACACCCTGTAGCCACTGTGTATGAAGTAAAGGTGAAGTGTAATGATATCGCGAGTAAATACAAGGACCTACTCGTACCAGCGGTGCCGGAGATAATAATTAGTAATTTCAGCGATAACAGAGTTTTATGTGGGCTGTGCAAGTTTCGTACTTGGCAGAAACGAACACATGAATTAATGTGGTAGGCTTGGCCGGGGAAGGACTTGTTTGTTTGTTTCAGAAATGGGTCCCCTACAGAAACTTGTTAAATGTTAAATTAAACAACAGCGTCCAAGGTGCGACCTCTCTCGAGTTTTAAAACTTTTTTCCAGAAGGAGGGGCTGGAGTCTAGTCGCTGTCGGACATATTTACAATTTTAAATTACTCTAACTAACTTGATGTTGGTACAGACGGCAGTGTCTACTCCCCATTCTCGACACATACAGCGGTTACATCTGTCTGCGAATACCTTGTTCAGAGGGTGTGTCACTCCTGAAAAGTGAGATATGGTTTGGAAATTTTACTTATTTTGTGCTGCTGAGTATTCTAGAATTTAAATAGCATTTTTGATGGAGTGCAGCCTTCGTGTAAACTTGAAAGTTCTAGTAAAATTTGTTTTCTATAAATTTCTTGAAGTCAGCTCATCGATAAATAGTCTTATGTAGGTATGTATCATTCAAATGAGTTATGCGTGTAAACTTTTAATAAAAAGCTACATAATTAACAGGATGGATGTATATTTAGAAAAGTTGAGGTATATTGAGGGTTAAGGTTGAAATTACTGTAGTCTACGTGAACACACTTGTGATTTAAACTGATATCAATTAAGCTCATTAAAACTTATTAAAGTAAATTCAGATAAGAAATGTTCATTTTGTATGTTAAAAATGTTCATTTTTATGTTAAAAATGTTCATTTTTTATGTTAAAAATGACTGCTCACCTTTGTAAACGCAGAAATTGAAAGCCTGCACGCCTCCCAGACAAGTTAAAAGTAAAATCAAAAGCATGCTCGCAACTACCTGATCCTAAACAAAGCAATGGGACACATGAGACAGGCGAGAGTTGTGATATGACGACGAATGTAATCACATTCGTATGTTACTGTTGCGTTAATAATATATTTACAACATATTATGCTCCCTGAGGGTGATATGAACTATATCAGAAGTCGTCTCTGACTTCATTAGAATTAGTTATTTAATCGAACTGGCACGAGATCAGAGGAACCGGTAGGACGTGGTAATGTGGGGGGATGGTTTAGCAGCCGATACCGCTAAACTAACCTATACATTATTTAATAGAGCCACCCAGCTAGCACGTACGTTATTGTATTAAATTATTCTATGACGACATTATTCTGAAATGAAATGTGAATTAGTCAGATCCGAGGATGGCTATCATGGACCGAAATCGAAGTTGAAAAGTTCGGTGATAAATCATGGACGGTTATATTCCGTCGCCTTTATGGCATATTACTCTATCAAGCTCTAGCTTACTAACTTGCACGTAAAATTACAGTCATGTTCTACTAGGAGTGTTGCCGGAGCTATTACACGGTTTAACACGAACATCCACCAACTTTAACTCGTGCGACATGGTGATCATGTTTCAGTCAGATGTTATGTGGTTGAGGCGTGGTTAAAGTGCTGAGATAAAGTTGCTGAGGTAGAGCAGTTAACTTATAATGTTAGTCGAATAGCTCATCCAGGAGTGTCATTTCATTAAGGAGTGATCCTATAAAAATAACATTTTAGAATGTCAGCGTGGCTGATATTTTGGTAGAGACCAACTTAAAATCCATTGTGGCGAAATCTTGAGTAAAGCTTGTGGGTGGGTCTTTGTAAGTTTGAAAAGAGATATAGTATTTTCAGTAAGATGAAGCATTGTTTGAAAAGCGGCGCATGTGCCACAGTGTGCCATATACCTAGGTGAGGTGCTATCATATAATAATTTAGACTATTAAGAGTAGGACACGCCTGTATAATTGATCTGTCATATTGTCCCTAGCTAGAAGTGGTTGAAGTACACTCACTTACGTCGTGCCTTTAGAGCTCGTGAGGGAAACATTTGTCTACTTAATTTGGGAAATAAGTAACACTTTTAATGTTGACTGTTGGCGGTAACATTCAGTGCTACATTGAAGGCATTAAAACTATCGCTGTATGAAAACACTTTAATTTAGCATCACATCGTAGAGGATTGAACGAATGTCTTGCAATTGCTGTAATCTTAATTAATACAAATCCTGCAATATTTGTGGGTGTATTTTTAGTGATCTCAGGTCCAACTCAAGGTATTTACATTATAAAGGTATATATTTAATTAATCTTAAATCTTGGATCAATATTTATTTGTTTATCACAGCACTATTGCGACTTCCAAGTGACCAAAAGTTGATAATATTAGGGCTGATTGCATCGTGTCCAGAACTAGATACCAATAAATTGTGATCAGGAGTTCTCTCCTCAACTCACTACCCTTGGAAACACCAACCAACTGGTGTCACCAGTTGGTTGTCAGATATTATCTCAGTAAAGAAACACCACGGTTGATTTTCTGAGCTCTAGAATACCTCGCTAATCGGTCACGGTAAATAACCTGGTAATCTTGACAACAGTTGTCAGGGTTACCTAACTATAGTTAGTAGCTACACTTGACTACCAACACCTGCTGCACTTCTATACTGACATTACCTTTCTAACAACTTCCAGCTTCATATCTGACTAGTAACTAACTACATGGCGTCCCGCCATCTCAACAGAAATTAGGTCCAGGTTTTTGGGTTACCCTTCAAGATTACAGCCCTAAGATGGAGCGCTATTTAATTGAATGTCCTCGTCCAGGTTGTGGTGCAGTACAGAGCTTGCAAACTCTCCAAGTCCCCACACAGCTGGCACCTGGATTGCGTCAGTTTCATGAGGTAAAGGTGTCGCAATAGGCAAACCCTCTCTAGAATATACTATTATTATACAGAATCTCAGGTCTCTGGGGGATTGGGGATTGACTAATATAGCACAGGGCCTCCAGTTTCTGTGGAATATATTAATAACTAATATAATATATGTAATATTAAAATATTCTAGGTGAGTACCAACAGTGAGGTACAACTACCAGAATTCTTTATTAAGTAAGTTTAATTTTACAGACAGAAATTATGTTTGAACATCGCAGAAGTGGTTGGAAGTCTTTAGACCGGTTTAGGCTTGTAAACGATGCCCCGCAGCCACTTAACCGACGATTAAATGGTCACTTAGTAATGCGGACAGAACTGTTTGGTAATTTTCCTCTAACACAAAAGCTAGTAGGTATTGAATCACTACGACCCTGCCCGATGTAATTCCAGAATTAACTTTCGTAACTTTACGATTTCGGCATTAATACTTCTAGGATTACTAAGTATTCTCAATTCACAACTATTACAATTTACTATATTTAATCTTAACCACTTCCAGCATTCACAATACACCATTCTTGTTGTCTCAAACGAGACTTTTGCTAGTTAGTCTACCCACTGCACAAAGTATTTGCTCATTAACATTTCAAAAACGTATTAAACAGCGAATTCTTTATTTCAAGTAATTGCAGTTTTAAAATGTTGTGGAGTCATGCCAATATGAGCCTGATACTATGGACCTAGTAGTGTAAACTCATTTGGCGTGGATCCCAAACTCGCTCAACCCTGGACTGTGAAGCCACACCAATTTCTGTCATTTCAAAAGTTATCACCCCTAGACGTTGTCTAGACGTTAAGACTAGACAACCACTAGCCAGCTAGAGCTGTAGGTTATTATATTCCTCAGAAAATGCCCATAAATATTATTATTATCAAGATATTGCAGAGTTGTCAGCTGGTCAACTAAATCCTGGGCTATTTATACTTTATTATATTTAACGAATAAAACTGAGCTCTTGCGATGCTGTGCAATTTTCCTAAAAATATTGTCACCGAGCCGCCTGACTATTACTGCGAATTTAACCTGGTAATGACTGGAAAATTGCCAATTTGATATCCACCTGGAGCAGATGTATTAATACCCCAGCTATAATATGTAATAATAATAATTATAATTCTGAGCTGGTGATGTGGGTTAAATCGGCTTTATAATCTCCGCGAGGGAAATACAGATTGTAGGAGCAAGGGACTGTTGACGTCACAATTATTCAGGGTGTGGAGTCCTCCTCCACCACTGGAGGAAGTTATAGTTGGTTGCAAGATTGAAATGTAACACTGAAAGTGTTTTCGTACTTAGAAGTCGACTTATTTAAAAGATTTTACCCGAAAATAATTGATTGTAGCAACCTAGAACTGTACCCAGACGTGTACCGGGGTCCGAACTCTAGGGCGTGAGATTCTATGGCGGCGCCCTAAAAAACAGGACTCTACGGCGTGGAGACGTAAAATAACAGGACTCTACGACAGCAACAAAACAGCCAGTATCGTGGCCGTATAGTGACCGTATATTGGCTGTATAGTGGCCAAACCTAATTTCCCGAATTCCCATCCATCCCGACCTAAGGTACAGCCGATGAAATGTAACACTGACTTAAAACTCAACGTATTGACAACAAAACTGATCAGTTAGGTACAATGAGCACAAATATAAAATCACCTGGGAACTAATTTGACACAAGCATTTCTGTGCAGGAATGTGTTTACGTCAAGAATCTTGAGACAATTCTAAGTTTTAAAGTTAAATAAGAAGAGTTTAAGAAAGATATGATTTCTAAAAGTATTGTAAATAATAATTGTTATTTTGGAATGTTTCGAATGAAGTATTAGGAAGAGTTGGGACTTGGGGGTACCAATTATGTTAATAATAAGTTAATAAAGATAAACATAATGAATTCCACATACAAAAAGTTGTATTAACTTATATAGTTGAGGAAAGCATATAATTAATTACATTTTTACTGGATCTTTGTACCTAGAATTGTTGTTGAATTAAAAAAATTGTATATAAATATTCTTGATGACGTGTGATGTTTGTGTCATTATTATTTGTGATGTTCCCGAGTGCCTTCCTAATGGCTGAAATACGTTTCAGACTGTTGCTCCGAAAATCTGGAACCAACTACCAATTGAAATTAAGACTTGTTCCGATGTTGATCTGTTCAAAACATTATTAAAAACTCACCTGTTTAAGAAAAGTTATGGCATGAGCGATTAATTGACAATATAATAACTTTATGTTATTTGCTTAAACTGTTTAGGATGCAACCTAATGTCATGATCTTTTTGAACTTATTAGCATTTAGACTGTTAGCTCGCTTCACAAGCATGTCATCTTCGTTCCAAAACTTTTTATGTCCTATGCATACACTCCTTGATAGTTATCTTGATCTAGTATCTTTGTTTCACACAATAGAGCATAAGTTTTGTGGTTTATCCACTGGGCTTAGAGTTTGTGTTTAAGCTACCAAATTTTATTATTATTATTTTATTTTAAACTTTTTTCGGAGGTGCCTGGAGAAATATGTTCTAGTTAGTTGTGTCTATCACGTTTGGGGTGGTTCCTGGTACTATAGATAACACATTCCTGCCCAGAATGCTTGTTCCCAGAAAATTAATTTCCAGAAAATATTCATATTACGCTATTCACGAGGCCCAATTGGTTTCTACCTGCTATGGTCGATATGACCATCTCATAGTCATATGACAGGGCAGGGGTGTAGGAATGGTTTTCTTCATGAGGGGGCCAAAATCTTAGAGTTACAGTTTTTTATTTTATTTAGCAGGAGCTTTGGCCACAGCCTGAATTTCAAAAACAGCAAAACGTTCAGTGTCAACCATGCCTGTAAAATTTTTAAGTTTATGGCAGGATGGCCTAAGCGAAGGCTGCATCTTGTCCAAATTCTTTTGGCAGATTTGTTTTGATGATGTTGCACTTGCAAAAGGCCTAGTTGAGCAATTCGGCAATAGAGATCATTTTCAAACACAGTTTTAAGAACGATTCAAATAATACGAATTTGAATGCATATTAGGGCCTGCAAGTAGCTCTGGCGAAATAAGTATAGTTCAAGAAAGGAATGCTTATCGTATTCTCTCAAAAAAATATATAAATCCAGCAAGATTTTGTTGTGCCAATTTAAGGGTCATATCAAAGGATAAAGTCCTGCAAATATTGAAAAATATGCTTACATTAATAGCTATAGGTCTCACTCTCAAAAAGAGTGAGACCTATTAATGTGACTATCGTGCAGTTAGCTGTTAGACTGCAGTTTGACAGGGTAGGTCAGATGATGCCAAAAGAGTTGGCCAATTTTCGCCCCTTGCGCAGATTTTATGGGGGGGGGGCAGTGCCCCCCCCCCCCTCCTCTTCC